AAACAGCTGTTGATGGGCTGCCAGAGGGTGTCCTCCGTGCTGAGCAGGCGTCCTCTGCCTTCCTACAGTAGGCAAGGCTTAAGCCACAGACAGTAGTTGAGGGTCCAGGACACGCTTAAACTGAAACCAAAATCTCTGAGGCAAGTTACAAAGGCTCAGAGGGCCTGAAGAGGGAGATGAGAGGGTATTAAAGATCACACTGATTAAAGGTCAGTCCCATGACCTCTCGCTGTCTCTCGGGCCTTGTGCCCCCAATCCTAGTGGTAACCTACAGAAAATTGTTTATTGGCGAAAGGGAAATCACTGACAGGGAATGTTGATAATTAAAGTTGATAAAGGAGATGGACCAGGCATCAGGCATGATGTAAATAGCTTTCTGGTCCCCCACCCCCACTCCTCAGGGCAGAAGTTATATGAGGTGGATCTGGGATCCTGTGTAGATTTGGGGAAGGTGATTTGTGTATGTAATTGTGTTCCGATCTTCCAATCCGCAAGAATTCTTGCCACCTCCATCACATTCCCAATCAATAAACCCTCTGTCATGCTGAGGTGTGGCATGTCTTCTGCTGAAAACCTCAGATTCAGAAACAACACACACTGAGACACACGCTCGCGTGCGTGTACACGCACGCTTTATCACCCTCATGACACAAGCTCCTTTCAAACTGGTTTAAAAATAGCACTAATCCATTCAGCTTATTTTTCAGGAGCATTATTTTAAGATGAAAAATAGAAGATACCCTGGTCTTTGAGAGGGAGAAAGGCTAAAGCCTTGCCTAGTCTTAAAAAGTCCTGATAATGTTGCTAGAGACTAAGCCTTTGCAGTCTTTGTTCCATTTTCTCCTCCTCCCATTCAACAAAAGTTGTTTATCGGCTAATACCCTGCCATCTGGGTATTTACAGAGGTGGGTTTCCTTTTCAGGTGGTGGTGCCAGGGCAAAGCTACAGCATCAAGCCCTTCCCCGTCCCTGGCCTCTCCGTCAGTGACTGGAGGCCGGTGGATTTGTGAATCAGCTTTCCTTTCCCCTACACAGGGGAGCCCCTAAACGCTGCTGGCCGTTTGCAAAAGGCTGTGTGTATGTGTGTGTTTAATTGCAGGTTTATTTGTTCCTGCTCTGGGAGTCTGTCTGTCTGTAACTTGGATGACTGCTCTCTGAGAAGCTGTAGCTGGCTGATTCCGTGGGCGACCGAGCAGGATGCGTGGGCGCAGGAAACAGAAAAGGGAAAAGAAAGCGGGAGGGAGAGAAAGGGAACGCGCGCGAGAGAGCGGGAGCCTTAGAATCTGTTATTTGCGTCACTTGAGGAGCTGGGGCTATCTGCCCGACAAACACACAGAATTAATCCGAGTTATAGCCAGAGCTGTCTCCGCTACAGCGGTCAGCTGCGAAAGGGCGGGGAAAGGACGCTCGCTCCGCGCCTGTGCCGAGCCGAGCTTGCACCCGGCGGCGCAGGGCGTTTGGGGAGGGGGGCTGTCCTGCTGGGCAAGCCCTCGGGGCCCCGCACGCCCGGTGCACACCAGGTTGCAGCCTTCTCTGCAGCTGCCCAGCCCAAGCCTAGGGTGGCGCCCGCCTCGGCCGCCTTGCTTGTTCAGTGGCTGCGCCGAACACAAAGCGTCGTCTCTGAGCAGAAGCCTCTTCTCGGCTGAACCAGACCCACCAAAGAGGAGAATCTGCACGTGACGTCAGTAGCTGATGACTGACGCAGGCTGGCAAAGGAGACTCAAGGCGGCTGCTCCGCGCTGCCTTCATGAGTCTATTTTCTCCAACCCCTTCGTAGTGAATTACTAGAACGCAAAACACACACACACACACACACACACACACACACAGCGCCTTCAAAATATACATTTCCAAAGGCGGTGTGTTGCAAACACAGCGAGATTTTGCAAAGCATGGGTGGGAAACGTGGGAAGGGTATGGAGGGGTTTTTTTTTTTCTTTTCCTTTCCTCATTTGGGAATCTCCAGCGTGGACCGCATTAGACTCTAGAGCTTTTTTTGGAAGCTCCTCTGGGGATGGGGTCTAAGCACCCCACCCCACCCCCATTTCCCAAGCATGTCTGGTCAATGGGGACCTGCAGCTCTAAAAGAATACAACCACTCCAAAGCCTTCTGGTCGGGGAGACAGTGAGGAGCTTGCAACAGGCGGAGGCAGACGGGAGTTAATGGGAGGGAGGGAGAATATAAGCAATATTTGGGTGTTTTTCTGCTTTGAAAAAATCATCTGCAGTAATGTAAGTGAGTGTGGTGGTGCAGGGAAAAGTGGGGAGGGGGCGCTTAATGCACATCTAATGTTTTGGACGTAACGTTCCAGCGAAATGCCTTTGTGTGTGGAGGTTTTTTCAGTACTTGCTAAAAATAGCATCAGGGTTTGATCGTGTTCCAGAAATAGACCGAGGGCTGCACTGGGATAAAAAGCCAGCGCGGGTGGAAGAAAACCTGGACATCACCGCATTCCTCCCCCCCCCCCAACTATGTCTGGAAATTAATTGTTGGATTTTTCCTTTCCTCTCTCCTGTCTCCCTCTCTCTCTCCACTTTCTCTTCCCACCCCGTGTTTCTCTTTCTCTCTCTTAAGGAGTTCCCGTTTGGGTAAGTAATATTATGTCATGTGCATGCCGCAGACTGTGAGTATGAACTGAGGCTTACTTTGTGCATGCCCTGGGGTTCTTTTTTGGCTGCTTTTTCACCCCTTTTCTAAAGAGAAGGGTGGTACTGAGTAGGGGGTGAGGGGTATAGCTGTGTGTGTACATAATGAATTTGGGGCTGCATGAAAAGGAGCCGAAAGGGGGAATTCTTGCAGAGCCGGGAATCACCCTGACCAATCTCTGAATCAATAGCTGCAACTCTCTCTCTCTCTATGGGTCGGCGCTGTTGAGCCCGGTTCTCTCGACTGCCCCCCTCCGTTCCCCATTTTCTCTGTCTTAAAGGGTGTCCAGATACGACTTAATGGGCCATCTCTCTGCGAGATTAATGGAGACAATGCGATATAGATTAAAATTGCATGGTGGGGCTGGGAGGTAAAAGAAGGAAAAATCCGCGTTCCTTTGACAAACTTCCCTGCTCGCTCCGGTCCGGGAGCCGGAGGACCGCGACCCTGGCGGATCCCGGCTGGCCCAGGGCGCGGTAGCTGTCCATGGAAGGCAGGTGCTGAAAATTCCTTGGTCCTTGGCGAGTTCAGCTCCGAGCGCCAGGGGGCGGGGTTGGCGCCAGTTGCGGATAGCCCCGCCCTGAATGCAGAAGAGGGATATGGAGAGGAGAGGGTTAAGGATGTTCAAAGAGGATAGTCGTGACTTCGGTGAGAGCTTTGGGGAAAAGGAGGGGTGAGTGGGAAGGAAAGGGAAAAAATGTAAAGGAGGGGGTGCAAAGTGTTAGATTCGAGGATGAGCCAAGGCCCAGCGCTCCAGGAACCGCAAGCCGGTGCTTTACCGGCTTTCTCCGCAGAGGCCAGGCACTATCTGGGTCTCCATTTCCAGGCGCCCGCACCTTCCCGCCAGTGGGTTTGAAAGATTTCTCTCCAGTGATGGTCCCTTTCAAATAAGAGGCTATAGGGTCGCTCTATTCAGACTCTCGTCGCTCCCACTTCATGCCCCCCACGTTCCCACATCCTGCAGTTCCCGGGAGGTGTGTAAGGATGTGTCTGTGCGTTATGGCATTTTTCTTACTATTCCCTTTCCTTAGCGTCCTAGTCATGGGAGCCCCAAATGAGTTAGTGGAATGAATGAATTAGAAGCCAAACCAAAGCACAGGAGTTGCTGGTGCGATGCGCAGAAAATCCGGGCTTGGGAACATCGCCCAGAGCCTTCAAGCCAAAAATGCCAAAGGGTTTCTGAAAACCGGCTCTGAAGGAAACTAGGGAGGGAGGGGGTTCTTCTCCAAGTTCCCAAATGTTATTGGGGAGACCATCAACTCCCTGGGGTTATGGGTTTGACCCAACGTGATATGCACTGCAATCAACTCCAGTGACTTTAGTTAAACCTGTAGCCAGACAGGTGAAGAGGGAGGAAGGTTATCAGAGGCCAGAGTGGGGGGGGGGGGGTGAGGAATAAACATCACTGGGGCATACAAAGACATCTTGCTGATTAACTCCTCGGGGAGAAATAATAAAAATGCATCCTCAAATTGGCCCACAAGGGTGGGCTGTACACAGTGGGGGGGGGGGAGGTGAAGCTATCTTGTAGATCTGCAGTAAGCTTGTGTGCATGCAGGGATATTTTCTATACCTGTAATAATAATAAAGAAAAAAAAAAAGGACGGTGAGGTAAGTATCTGTGAGGTCTGGCCTTCAACTGAAAGAGGAGAGCCCAGGTCCCCCATCCTAACCCACTAACAGCCTATGGCTTCAGTGACCTGACCACCCCCCCCCCCACCCCAGCTCAGGGCACTGGAGGCGTAGCCCTGGGGTGCGGGCCGGGGGTCGAGTTATTTTTACTTTAGAAGTAGTCTTATCTGGGAAGGTTCCCTGGCTGAGACAGTATTCGTCAACTCATAATAGTAACAAGGGTTGTTACTGATGTTGTGGAGAATAACACAAATAACTTCAACCCACACTTCGTCTTGACAATTCAGCTCAAACCAAAGCTGCTCGCAGCCTCCCGGCCCACCCCTCGGCCTCCTCGTCACTCACCCGGACCCACTCCTTCCCTTTCCCAAGCCTCGCCCCTCTCAGCCCCACAAGTTGCGTGGTTATGTTTACAAATTCTGCCAAATTTGCAAAGGCAAGAGCTTGGGGGGGGGGGCGGCGCTAGGAGGGATGTCAGCGCAATAAAACATATGCAACACGTGGAGTGGTGGGAAGGGGGGTCATTGCGGGGAAAGAGAGGACGCCCCATGTCCTCATTTCCCCCCCGGACCCCTCTCCTCATCGCTTGACACAATGCACAAGTTTACCCCTGAACTAGATCCTATTAAATAATTCAATGGTAGCGGTGTAATTTTGGTTGGAACCAGCACGGATTCCCAAGTCGTGACTGCAAAAAGTGAGTAATGCGCGCTGGCTGCGTCATGGCTCTAGTCACAGTTCATTCCGAACTGAGAAGGAATCGTGACTTCGCCTGGAGACGTCCCCTACAAGGGAGACGGTGGGGGGGGGGGGGGGGACAAGCCGGGGGGGTAGGGAATGGAGGTGGGGGGGAAGACCCATCCAATGAAAACCGCTGCCAGGGGGACTTTTGAACTCCGCCGCTCGCTGTCTGGCTCTTCCCTCTCGGCCCGGTGCACCTCTCTCCACCTCTCCCCCCACCCTCCTGCCGGCGCGCTGGCGAGCGCGCCCGCTCGCTCGCTCTCCCGCGACCCGACGAGTCCTCAACAAGTTGGAGGAAGGCAGGAACGCAGGGGTTAAGCTCGGAGAGCCGCAATTACCAAGATCGTGACCCTCCCACACAGTACAGTAACTTATATACTTACCTGGAAGAGCCCGCTCCGCCGCCGGGCCAACACCCGTGGGGGGCGGGGAAGGGCGGGAGGGGAGCGGGCCGGTCGGAGAGGGGCGCCTCCAAGCTGGCTGCAGTGCGGACCGGACCGGCGCGCTCCAGGAACCTGGGGACCCAGGTAAGGAGAAGGGGTGACGGTGCACAGGTCGGCCGGCGGTCGGTCGGCTCAATGGTCGGCTGAGTAGAACTTTTTCTTTTATTTTTCTCCCACAGGGGGCCGCGCCGCCGCTGCAGCGGCCGCGGACTGTGGAGCCCCCTCTGGCGCGGCGGACGCGCCGACGCTCCGAGGGTGTGTGCGTGCGTCTGCCGGTCGCCGAGCCGAGGGGACGCCGTGGGAGGGTGGGAGGGTCGCGGAGCTGCCGGAGGGTGATGGATGGGCGGAGGGGGTGGGCCAACAGAGACTTGGAGACGGTCTAGCTGGATTTTCTCTGGGCAAGCTTAAGCCAGAGCGTGCGTGTGCGCCCGCGCCCGCCGGCACGTCGATTTCAGGGTGGCAAAGAACAAATATGGCAACTTTTCCCCCCAAGTTCTGGCGATGTTTTGCAACACCCCACTTAGGCTGAATCTTTCCTCCCCCGGGGGGACTACCCTCGGGGAGGGAGGTGGTCTGAATGTTCCTTTGCCCAAATCCTTCTTGGACCGTGATGGGGCGAGGTGGGGGGGAGGGGAGGAAGACCAGACTGGGGAAGGGTGGCGCTGCCCTGGGGAGAAGGAGGGCAACCCCTCAAAGTTTGACTACGTTGGATGGCGGAGGGGGCCTAAAGGGAGAGAGGGAAGAGGGAAGGAGGGATAACGTAGGAAAGAGATCTCCCTCCTCCTTCCACCCTAGTCTCCCTTCCCCTCCCCTCTGCTTCCTCCAGCAGAGGGTGGAATCTCCCGACGTTGTGGGAGCCGGCGGAGAGGCGGTCGCCTCTTGTTGTTCCCCTCAACATTCTGCAGAATGGGTAGGGAGTGCGGGGCGGGGGCTGGGAGGGGGGGCTGGCAGCAATGAAAGGGCGCCCGAGGCGAGTGGGACATTAGACACTGAACATCTAGACGGGCTTGGGGAGGGGAGGGTACGGAAGGAGGGGCTTCACCCTGCCTATCGAGCTTCCAGAACTTTAACGGGGAGTGGGGTTCGAGCCATCCTCCTTTTTTTTTTTTTTTAAAGAAATAGGCTGACTACTGTGCAGTTTGGGTATATTTTCTGTTTATCTTGGCCTGTCATTTTACGTCTGAATCTCCTGGCTTAGGTCCTGTTGGGAGAGGTCGCTCTCTTGAACCCTGGCCCAATGTCTCACGCCCTCACCTGGGCTGGAATGGGGCAGGGGGGCTTGGCCGGATTTTTTGCAACAACAATATTTTAACGTGTTCCAGTCTGGGTTTTGTTAAATAATTAGAAATGGAAATATTTTTTTCCTCCCTCCCCCTTCTGGAAAAAAAAAAAAAAGGAAATGTGAGCTCTCTCCTGATTGGTGGGTGACGATTTTAGTCCTCACCAATGAGCTGGCGGCCTCGTCTGTATTTATTTAGTGCTCTGGGGGAGTTTTTCTCTTTACGCAGCGCCTGTAGTCACGGCTGGAACCTCTGCTGGGGGACTAGGAGGGACAAGAGGGGGTTCAGGGGGAATCCGAACTGTACCTGTTCAGAGATCCGCGACCTTGCAGCCGGGGCTGGCGGAACCCTGAGAGGGGAAAGAGGGTGACAGGACAGATAGGCGGGGAGGCTCAGGGTGCTGGGGTGCCGGAGAGGGGTGGAGGCTGGGCTCCGGGATCCCTGGTCCCCTCTCCGCGCTCCTCCTCTCGCCCTCAACACACCTCGCTCGAGGCTGTTGCGGGCTGAGTTGGGGGATCGCGGACAGTGTGGAGAAATGGAGGGATGGGGCGAGGGGTTCGAGGAGGGGCGAGAGTCGGGCGGGCGGCGCGCAGGGTGGGAAGGCTGAGCCGCGTTGGAGCGCGCTGGGGAGACCCAGCCTGCTCGGCTCCGGGGTTCGGAGACATCCTGGGCTGAAGGCGGCGGCGGCGGACTGAAGAAGCCAGCAGACTCTGCCCTTCGCGAATCTTTTTGCGGTCTGGGCTTGCTGTACATAACTCAATAGCCGGAAGCCCTTACCCCAAAAAGCATTCGCGGAGGGCGCACTCGTCGAGAAGACGGCAGCCACCAGCGATCGCCGAAGTCCGCACCTTCCCGAAACGGCTCAGTCCGAGCCTTTCCCAGCCCTCTCCCCGTTTTCCACGGAAGAATCAGTCCTTTCCCTCGCGTCCTTCCCGCGCTCCCTGAGGCTTTGGTCACCCGCCTGTCCTCCGCGCAGGTCCCCCACCCCCAACTTTTTAATCGACTTTGTATCACAGGGGGAATCGGAGCAGGCGGTGTGCGTAATGTTTTCGGAGAAGTGGGAAAAAGCTGAAATACAATAAAAGTTTACACAAGTTGTGTCTCCCCCACCACCACCACCAACCTCCGCCCACACCCTGAATAAGCCCATTCACCCACTGCAAAAAAAAAAAAAAAAAGGAATCTGGTCTTAGGGCCAAATCGGTACCTGGAATATGAATCAGTTTAGGACATTTTCTGGTCATTTTTGACCCATATGATCCAACTCTGCAATATAGGGGTGGGGAAGCCCTTGAGGGAGAGGCGGGAAGCCCTCAGCATCCCCTTTCCTAGTGGGGGACCCCGAGGTGAGGGGAGACGCGGTGAACTGGGCAGCTCCGAAAAAAAGGGAAAATACCCAGGCACCGCCCGCTCCCCGGAGTCCCTTCTTCCCCCAACACCTGCTTCCAACCTAATTTGAAGCGTTTTGCAGCCTCAGGTCCCCCCCATCTCGCCTTGCTCAAAACTAAGTAGCACAGAAAGGGATAAAACATGTGAAAACTGGGAAAACCCCCGCAGAGAAGGAGCATTTGGGAGATGTGGTTGCACCCGAGTCAGAAGCTCAGCAGTGGCAACAGCAGCGCAGTCCTGGCCTCTTTAGGTGCCCCGTCCTGGGGAGCGGAGCAGAGCTGCAGGGTTGGGGATCAGCTCTGGGTGCCCCCCTCCTCACCTCCCCTTCCACTGCTTGCAGTCGTGACCGCTTCGGTTACAAGTGGCAAAGATCAGGCCTTCACCATGCTCTGCGCCCCCCACGTCCTTCGTCAGCTAGAAACACTGCTAGACGCCCTTAGGGACTGAACCAGAAGGACACACAGACACACGGAGGCCCAGAGGGATGGACACGGCTAGAGGATGAGTCTAGGGATATGAGAGTCCAAGACCCGAGGGCTGCGAAGCTTCGCATTTTCCGGGAGGGCCTGAATTCCGCCCCCCCCTGCACCCCAACCACCATTCTCCCAGCAAACTAAACGCCCACCATCATTCCCTTCTCCCTGAGCCGAGCACCCAGAGTCTACCCTCTCCCGTAGGAGGAAAAAGGGCTCCAAAGTCCGAGAGTGCTGGACAGAGTCAATCTTTTCTAGCTCAGCCTGCGAGGAGGCACGGAAGGCGAGGACTCCCAACTCCAGGGATAAATCAGAGCCCCTCTCCCCAGATAAAGGAGATTTTCTCTCTCCGGTTGCGTTTTCTGAAAGAGTAAAAGGATCCCTAAGATCTGCAAAGGAGATGGAGCCAAAGCAAAAGCTCTGGGGGATTTCCTCCCTGCCTCTCACCTGGGGCCGTCTGTGGAGCGATAGCTTCGCGGAGGGAAGAAGCGCAAAAGCCAGGCTAGATTAAAAATAGCCTCACCCCGTGTCCCTTCAGCATCTCTTTTGTTTTTCTTTTTTTTTTGCTTCTTACCTTCCCCTTCTCTCCCCGGCCAGAAAGCCCTCCTCTCTCCAAAAGCCGGAACCTCCACCAGGTTTTGGAGAGAGGTGACCTGAGCGAAGTGAACTCGCACAAAAACAGTAAAAGCCGCCTGAGTGAGGGCGGCTCGAGGTTCCCGCGCCCCTGGCCCCCCTCCCCCCTCCCACACGGCGAGGTGTGGGGCCGGGGCGCGGGAACCTCGAGCACCCGGCCGAAGCCGGCGTCGTGCGCGCCCGAGCGAGTCCTCGCCTCGCCTCGCCTCAGCCAGACAACTGTTGCTGCTTTGAAGAAGCTACTGCGGCTGCAGCACAGATGCTGGGGCGACCGACCTCACACCGGTCACTCACTGATCTGGGGCGGGGGGCTTGCGGGGGGGGGTCTCATTCCGGATGGGACCAGAGGAAAGCACCCCCCTCCCCTTTCCCTTCGCCAGGAGTGAAAATCGGTGGCTTCTTGGACAGCTTTCCTTCCCTCCTAAGGGGGGCTGCTTCACCCTGAGGCCAGTGGGAGCTGTCCCTCCGCTTTCTCCCCACTTTGTCTTTGCTGAGAAAGGAGGGCAAAGTGGGGGGAGGACCTCTCTGAACCCTCAAACTGCTAACGCACACACCTTTTGAAAAAAAAAAAAAAAGCCACGTCACCCAGTAAGCCAGGGGCCTGATGGAAACTTCCAGGCACTTGCATCTGATGCAAACTGTCGAGCGCCTACATTAGGGAGAAGGGGTAGCAGCTGGAGACCCTTTCTCACCCCAGTGTGCTTCGCCATGGGGGTGGGAAGTGTCCAGGAAGTCCCCGGGGAAGCTTGGTCCCCGGAGCCCATTAGCTAGCTTAGCTTTTGCCTAGGTCAGAAAATCCAGACCAGGCTGGTCTCCCGAGCAGAGGAAGGGGTGAAGACATCTCGGAGCCCCCTCTCTATCACCTGCCCCCTGGTGGCTGGGTCAGGCTGGGGGTTCCCCGCGCTCTCACCCTCAGGCCCAGTTTTGGTTGCTCTGTTCTTGCGCAGCTCCCCCCTTCCTCTCCTGCTCTATCCATGGCTGGAGCCAAGTTTCCTCCCCTTGCCCGGCTCTTTTACCCCTTCTGGCCTCTTTTCCAAGACCTGTGGTTGCTTTGAATCCCTTCCTTACCTGCCTTAGGCTGGAGGCAAACGAAGGGACCGAGTCAATGAAATTGAGCACACGTCTGCAGTCTCAGACCGGGGCCCTCTTCTCTGTCCCAGGACTTCTCAACCCAGGGGGCTGTGTGGGCACCTCTGAAAAGCTCTCCTCTTGCTTCAGCCCCCCTGCCTTGTAACTCTTGGCCCAGATGCACCCCTCTGCCCTTTTCCTTCCCTGTAGCCTCCCTACCCCCATGATTTCCTACAAAATGTCCCAGCCCCCAAACGTTCCCGTTCTCCTCCAGAGCCAGCAAAGTAACCTTGCCCATCCTTGGCCCTTTCAGGTGGTCAAACCTGCCCTGACCCCTGGAAGTCTGCGTGAGGGGTGGTCACTGAAGGAAGAGCTCTCAGAGGCCATAGGAGCTGAAGAGTCCGCACAGATGAGTTCTGGAGTCCCTGGTAAGTGCAGAGATACCCCAGCCCGTGGCCCCTTGGCCTGGGCAGTGTGTTTACACTCCCCACTTGGCGACGAGACACAGGGAAGCCAGAGATCCAGTGCTTGGGGATGGTCCTCGATGGCTTAGCATTTGGCAAAGAGAAGCATCCAGCATACAGGTGATTGGGGAGGGGCACAGTACCCCAGGAAGCAGCCCCCTTTCCTGTCTTATCCCCTAGCAGGACCTGGACCTGGGTGTTTGGAAGCTCCCAAGCCTTCAGGACTCAGGGGTGCAGGGCTTCTTCAGTGGGGCCCAGAGGTGCCCCTCTGCCCCCATGTCCTGGGCTATGTCAGGCCTCTTAGGGGCCCAGGAGAGTCATGGAGTTGAAGGGAGATTTACTGCTCAGCTTAGTTTTTCTGAGGAAGCCAGCACTTTGAGTTCTGTCTACTTAACTGGGGTTCATCATAGGAAAGATAGGAAGATTTTTAGGTTATTGATTTTTTTTTGAGGGGTAAGGCATTAAACTCTAAACACATTTACTTTTACTGTTAACTAGCAAAATCCTTTGCTACAGAGCTTTTGTTTAGCTGCTTTGCTGAGCTTCAGAGTCATACTGTGATTTGCATTGGGGAATACAGTTCAAAGCTAGGCAGAGAATTTTGAAACTCCAGGGCTGTTAGATTTGTGAGATGGGGAGGAACCGAGCTCCCTAACTTATCTTTGGCTGTTATGTGAGCAAAATGTAGGAAGCTGCCAGAAATTCTAGAGGAAACTTAAGGCTCATGGTAGAACAGAAGCACAGTCCATGGAAGACCTTCAGATCATTACACAACAGACCTATTTACTGAATTAATTAAATGACTGCTACATAGATTTTGTGAAATGTTTACTTTTGAGAATGGAACTTTAACAATAAGTTGATTGACTAGAAACCTCTATAATCCCACCTTGTAAAGTGAGAGCAAGATCTTCAAATCACTGGCTGAACCTAACTTCTCTTAAATTCCCCTTTTGAATATAAGTTTTCAGCATCTGTCTTAGAGCAACAGGGCTGTAGTTCATTCCAAGAGGTTAACATCTCCCCCTTCTCCCCCTTTAATTGATATTTCAGTTGCCTTGTAGAAACATCTAAGAAAATAATAGAGGGGGTAAGATTTTCTTGCCTGAAGGGTAACCTCTTCTAAAAACATCTGTTGATGGGTTAAATCTCAAACTTAAATATAATACGTAGCATGTGAAAGCTAGAAAGAGCTATAGATATACAGACCAATACCTTTATTTTATAAATCAAGAAACAGGGGCTCAGAGAGATTAAGTGATTTTACCAAGGTCACACAGCTGGGGCTCTAACCCAGGTTGTTTACTGTCTACTCTGGATTCTTCCAGCTTCACTCAGTAATTCTTAACACTACTAAATAATACAGACAATCCATAAACACAAATTGTAACAGATTTCCTTCCAAAATGGCTTGCATTTAGGATGCCAGGGTTCAAAGAAGAGTTTACCTAAAGGTTCGTCTGCTAGCAGTTAGCGTTCTGGGGGCATCACTAGGTAAGGCAAGGCTCTCCTCTCTTGCTTCTGACACAGCCTAGACCTCAGTGCCTCCACGTGGGCCTTGATCCGCTAAGGAAGTCATCAGCACAAGGAATTTGCTGTGTCATGGAATCTGAGTACTGGTCTCTTCCAGAGTCTCTCTCAGCCTGAAGCAGTTCCATGAGGCCTAGGCCTCTCTCTCCCTTATTTCTTTCCTCTGGTCAGCAGCTTGAATCTTATCCTTCTTGCCCACGGGGCTTGACTGGGAGCTATTAGGAGGGTAGTAAGGGCCAGTTGACTTCTCCCAGGATTTCTTAATTACTTGACAAGCAAGGAAGGTCCACGAAAGCAGCTTTCAGACCAAGCAGGGATTCGTTTGATCCTTGTCCCTTGGATATCTTTTAGAGTGCTGCGGGTCACCTGCTCCTAGGACACTGGCTTGGTCTGGTCAGTTTTAAGATTTACCACCAATGCCTGGATCTAACCCAGCTTTGCATATTTCCATCAGTGACAGCCATTTTGATGCCATTATGAATCACGTCTTCAGCACATAGGAAGAGTAGCCGTGCTGTGTGTGCTATGACCAATAAATTATTGTGACGGCCTTTTCTCATAGACTCTCCCTGCTGCTTGCTTCCTCACTTCTCTTTCTGGATGTGCTCTTACTGGCAACTTCTAACTAGGAAATAAGATGCATTTCTCAACTTAAAAAGAAACAGATTGGAAGGAAGAAAAATGAAATGGAGTGCAAAATACAGTTAGGTTAAAAAACAAAACAAGGAGATTGGCAAACAGTGGAAGGCATTAAAAGAGCTAGTTCTATCTGGTCCTGACTACTTAGGTTCATGACCCTGGAAAAGCTATTGTCTTCTTCCTAGGCTTCTGATCCTCCATCTCTAAAGTTAGGTGCTTTGGGGCTCAGATCCCTCGTTCATTCATTCGTTCAACACATGTTGAATGTTTATAGAGTCCTTACTATATATCAGGCCTTATTCTAGGCATTGGGGATATAAATAAATTATTCTCCCTTTGATAACCTAATGAAGTTACGCAGCTTCTTCCCAGAAAAACAAAACAACAAAAGGAAAGAGAAAAAAGAGAAACACAGATATTTTACATAAAATTTCAAGGAGCTCATGACTTCCCTAGGCTTCACTGAGCCCTAATTAAACATATTTCATCTAGTTAGTCTCGAAGTCCTATATTTTACAAAATTAAGGTTTGCAGCTTAGGTTGCATCATCAAATCTTGATTTGTAGCTGTTCTTTTCTTTTTTTTTTTCCTTACCTAGCAGCTCTGTGTTGTGTTTTTAATCATGGTTTTTGGCCTTCCTTTTGTTGTAGAATAAATATTTGGAATTAGGTAATACTGCAAAAGGCTAGAGTAAATGCTGAACATAAAATCAGTAACTAAAAGGCAAAGCAGGCATGGAGGTGAGGGACAGAAGCAGATGAGAAGTTTTAATGGCCAAATCTAGCCCAGTCCTGCAGAATTTTGAAGTGACAATCCATCTTTCAGGCTAAATGTTCTTGGCAAAGTCTGGTGATTTGGAGGAGGGAACAGAGGTTGGTGTTGAAGCTGGACAGTGTAATGTCTCAACATCAGGGCTCATAGCAAAGATGGATTTTCTCTGGTGCTTTTGACCACCAGGGAAAATTAGAGATAGACAGGAGAGGGATTCCTTGAGAAGGACAGAAACAGTCCATTTGTTGGATTATTATGTTGGTAGACTGGCCCTGTTGGGATGACCCTGTTGGGTTGATAGGTTGCTTTTATATAGCATAGCTGGGGGCTTTATGGCAGGCAGTGCTGCTGAGATCTTCAGTAAAGGAGAAATTGGAAGTCTTTAAGACTCACAGTGGACATGGAGAGGTCAGCATGCAAAGGTCCCCCACTCCAAGTCTTCCAAAGCCTCTTTCTCCCCTGCTGTTAACTCCCTCAGAATTCTTCCTTGCAATGAGGAAGGCCTGGCTTTTTTCATTTAGGGTGAAGGATGTTTATGGACTTTAGTGTGATCAGCTACTGATGCAAGCTTTACGTTCAGGGTGAGCTGGATGCTCTTACTCAGCGCTCCCAGGGTAAATAGCCAGTGAAAGGCACTGCTGGGACATGACCTTGGAAGTGGAAGGTCTGGATTAAGATCTGACTTTGTAAAGACTTCAGGTAGATTGTGGGAGGATCTGGTGAAGTGTGTGAGTTTCTACTTAAGCAAGAAAGTAACAGATCGCTGCTGCTGAGGCTAAAGAATAGAAAGATCCACCTAAAAGCAAATCGGTCCTTCTCATTTGCTCAATTTCCTTATCTGTAAAATGGGAATAACAATAACAACCCTAAGGTTCTGGTGAGGATTCAATCAGATTATGCATGTAAAGAGCTTC